TAAGTCTCACAAAAAACAGAAAAAAAAACTCAGAGAGTATATATATATATATATATATATATATATATATATATATATAAAATAACAGCACACCTCCATTTAATAAGGCTTACAATTTGAGTTATGATTCATGTTCATATATTTGGATGATCTGGAAAATGATCAGAGGTTTTGTAATCAGACATTTCTCAAAAAAATGTTTTTTTTTAGAAGTTGACATTAAATAAAATTGTACCTTATCTACTTTCTAAATTCATGCTATTGATCTTGGTGATTTTGGTGATGTTTGCTGGATTTCTCCAATCATTTAGTCTGCTTAAACCCCACTCATTTCTTACAAGCGACTTCAGATCTGCCTAAATGTGAGTTTAGTTTGTATTTACCTGATGGACAAGTCAAAATTATTTTGAAGTAAATCTTGTCATACAAGGGTCCTGAATCAACAGTCAGGACAACATTGTGAAGAAAATTGCACTTCTGTGTCACACAAGGGGTTGAGTGTCTTCAACACATCACAGGAAGAATGATGTGTGTGTGTGTGTGTGTGCAACTGTGCGCTGCTAACTTTAGCATACCGCTCACAATGTTCAGTGCTTATTGTGCGCTTTTCTGCAGGCCAGATAGCTTTCCTCTGTCTGAATCTCTGCCAAGCGACGTGACATATCTGCTTCCTGAAAAACACACTGAACCAAACAGAGACAAACCAAACCAATGCATGAAGCAGCACAATGAAAGCATGCACTGCAGGACGGCACCGAAAGTCTGACCACTAGTGAAAATGCCACGCTTTTGCATTTAAATAAAAACATAAAATATTAAAAGCATAACAATTTGAGGAAAAGTTTAAATGGATAAGTACAAATTGAGGAAAGATGAAATAATTATAATTTTTTTTTATTATAATAAAAAATGAATACTTTTATCCAGCAAGGTTGCATTAAATTAAGCAAAAGTGACAGTAAAGACGTTTATGTTTATATTAAACCTCCAGAGTCAAAACTCTTTCAAGCAATTTGAGGAGAAGGATCAGGTGTGTGTGTTTGTCTGTGTCTGTCATGCGGGGTGACAGCGCACACCTTATTTACACACACACAAACACACACACACACACACACACAGGTTGGTTATAAATAGTGAGGTGACCCACATCCACGCAGTCCTGTAAACAGACACTCAGAGAGAGTATGTCAGTCCTCACAGGTAAATATTATCTGTTTTCTATCTAACCACAAACACAGAAGACTCATTCACTTCATATTTCTCATATTTCTTTCCTTTTAATTGTTTTGCTCTTCCTTCATGCTACACAGTTGAGCAGGCTTGGGGTGTTTCTTGTAGGTCCCTTCAGAATTCAGCTTTGCATCACAAGAATAAATTACAAATTAAAATATATTACTATATTACTGAATTGATCAAATATTTAACTTTTTGATCATTAAAAAACAACCAATTATTTTTTCCTTTTACACATTTATTTTAGAAAATGTAAAACATGTTTTTCTTGTTAATAATAATTTAGTCAGATGTATTAATGTAACTGAAATGATTATCTTATAACATGATGGAACAGAGATCTAGGGTCTCTCTCTCTCTCTCTCTCTCTCTCTCTCTCTCAGTGAGGTGCTGGCTTCACTCCAGCCAATAGCAGCTGTTTGTCGGTAATGGAGCTGCTCTCTGGAGTGCTATCAGGCAGGGCCGGTTCTGTTTACTTGAGCTTCTATCAGTGAACATGTGCAGCCAGGCACACACACACACACACACACACAGAGCAGGCCAGCAGGGCGGAGACTGAAGCTCGGAGGCGTGGGAGTTATAGCTGTGCTTCTCACTGCCTGCTCCATCCTGCACACACACACACACACACACACACACACAACCTTACACATTCAAAGACATATTCACACATAACAGCTTATACACAAATGAAGTGTCCTCTATACCTGTACAATCAGACTGATCTGTATGACCACACACAGTTCTCCACGAGGTCCTCTGAATAAGCTTCATCCAAACCTGATTAAGTCACATGGAGCCATTGATAAGTCTGACATTTAAGAGTCAGTCTGCAGACTCTCGCATGCATTTTTATAACTTACTTTGTATTAGGTTGGAAAGCATTATGGCAAACAAGCAAATGAATAAAGAAAGAAATAGATGAATAAAATAAAAACTAAAACGACAACATAACAACTGATTTACTTCTTATATTGGCAGTTAGAACTTTTCAAATTGCTGTTTAAATGCCCAGTGTGAAATTTTGCATAATGCATAACTTGTCTTAAAGTTGTTTTAAAATATGTGTTTATTTAGATAGATAGATGATTGTTGATTATGTGAGTTTGGTTGTCACTTTCTTGTCCTGGTGTGTCACTGGTTATTATTGATTGTAATGATGCTTTCATTGGCTGTTTTGAATTTTAAATTTAGGAGTGTTTGATTTCCGGTTTGTACACAATGCCTGATTGAAGGTCACATGATGGAAAATGTTTTTTTTTGTTAGTTGGCATTTATTCACTCTCATTTTCTTATTTTCTTCCATAGAGCACAAGGGATGAATTTTTGAAGAATATCGGTCACTTTCTTCATAATTAAATTGAATAAAGACTGGTGCTGTTAGGTGGTCTATAAAACTTCAATTTCTGTCGCTTTTCACACACAAAGCTATCATATGACTGCAAAGGGCTTGGCTTGGCTTTATCACAGCATTGTAACAATGGCACATAACTGTAACACAACACAAACCAGAGCTGCTTACTCTCAGCTAATATAACCTAGAGCTAACCGAGAGAAAAACCCAAACGGAGATGCTCTTCCATCATAATCAGAGTTGGAGGAATGTGACCGTAGACGTGTAAGTTTATTAGTCAACAGAGTACAAACGAGTCCTGCGGCCAGACGGTCACTAAATTCACTGGGTCTAGGCTGGATTTTACAGTTTACCACTGCAAATCAACATGCCACAAAACTAGATCATTATAATCAACAAGTGTAGACGCTAGACTAGATTATGTTGTTCTGCTCACTTAAAATCTAGACACTGTGTTACACAGGCCTGCAGATGCTGTCGACCAGAGAACGAGTCCTGCGGCCAGACGGTCACTAAATTCACTGGGTCTAGGCTGGATTTTACAGTTTACCACTGCAAATCAACATGCCACAAAACTAGATCAGTCCCATTATAATCAACAAGTGTAGACGCTAGACTAGATTATGTTGTTCTGCTCACTTAAAATCTAGACACTGTGTTACACAGGCCTGCAGATGCTGTCGACCAGAATGATTAGAGGATGTGGGTTAATTTATCACAGTTACTGCTGGTGTAGCATTACACGCACACTTAAATTTGACTTTAATGCTGGAAATTAGATTCCAGTAAGTCTCATTTATCTCTCACACACATTCACAGATTTGCTAAGCCCCTCTCGGCGTGTTTATGAATGTGTTTGTGTGAATATGGTAACGCATGAATCATACAGCTGAATGTGATAAAGAGCTTTTTCGGGAAAAGCGTGGAGAAGCGGGAAGGCAGGAAAGCAGGCGGTGTGTGAGTGTGAGAGAAAAAGAGTGGGAGGGAGACGGTCAGAGAAAACAGTGCTGGTGCTAGAATCCGTTTGAGTTTCTGATATCCTCGCGCTCGTTCCCAAATCATCATGTGGATTTACTTTTGGGAGCTAAAATTACAAAATACTCACTAGAAGTTATATTGTGTGTGTGTGTGTACACATATATCAGTTCAGCAGATCAAGATGTAACAATTAATTTAATTAATCAGAAGTGACAGTAAAGGCATTTATGATGTTATAATGGATTTCTATTTCAAATAAATGCTATTTCTATTCATTATCGAATCCTTAAAAAATGTATCACAGTTTCCAAAAATAAAAAAGGCAGCAATACTGTTTACAACATTGATAGTAAAAATGTTGTGATATTCTGAGACATTCTTAGGGCCAGCTTTATTAAACAGGGCAAATTAACGTTAGAACGCAATTCCAAAAAAGCGCAGATGGGAGGGGAAAATTCTGCGGGTGATTTACATCTCATTTCCATAATGACCAGCGCAATCTACCAAGAGCAGCGCAAATTACCAGTAGCCCCTCACTGCAAAACACAAGATCCAGGGGGCGTGGTTGGATCCACATCTAGGGGGTGGAGACTGGTAGGTTTAGGGGTGGAGATGGATGGGTTTAGGGATCAGGGGGTGGAGATGGGTAGGTTTTAAGGGTGCTCTGATCGCCGATCAGAAAGCAGTATCTGCCGATACTGATCACCGATACCGATCTTTTTAAAGCCTTCTTTTTATAATTTATAACTATTTATAGTGATACTCCAATCAGGATTTTTAGACATTTATTCAGGGCCTGAATTTCATTTTTGAAAATGGGGGGAATTAGTTGACTCTTGTGAGGGGAAGCAGCTTTCACAGAAGAGTCCGCTACTGATCCGTGGCTGTTTACCACAAACACAACATTTATCCATTATTTTGATTTCAAATCCTAACATTGTTACTGAAAATGCAACAATAAATATAAGCAACACATTATTCAATGCTTTTACTTTTGCATTTACTTAGATTTAGCTATATATTAAGTTGCTCAAGCAATTGGTAAACTACTTTTCTTACGTTATGCCAAACTTACCATTGACAGAAATAGTCATGTCAATATGCCTTTCCTTTTGCATTTAATTCTTTATTACAAGCAATCCGGCGGTTCATAAAGAACTTTGTTTTCCTACCTCCACGAGTGCCATCTATTATTGCCTTGTTTATCTAAAAGTGCTCTTTTCCTTTAAACCTAGCCAAAAAGCCATATGTGTTGACTGAAACACAGTAGACTTTAACAATATGCATTTATGATGTAATTACTACATTTTCGTGTCAATCCATGTTCATATTTACTGCAAACAATGCGCTGTTACTTTTTTGTGTGGTGATTTGAAGCCATTTGCGTATTTTGAGAGAGAAAGAGAGAGCGCACACAAGGTTTTCAAATTACTTTATAAGTTATTTAATGAAGAAATATTAAGGTGAGTACCTCCCCTTCAGCATTATAATGATTTCACCAGCGCCGGACAGAGACTGAGACGGTGCCGCTGCATGTCGTGCCAAACCTCTCACAACAGGTGCGTCGTCAGCTTGAGATCGGTTTATGAGATCGGCCTTTTTAGAGACCGCCGATCAAACATCCCAACGTGATTATCGGCCGATGGTGATCGGTGGCCAATCAATCACCCCTAGTAGGTTTAGGTACATGTACGGTGGGAGGAGTTGGATCTGGATCCAACCATGCCCCCTGGATCTTGTGTTCTGCAGTGAGGACCATCTCCAAATTACTGCCTGCTTTAAGACATGCTTTCTTTGAGCGTTACATAATGCCGCAAATACCAGTGAATTGACTAGTGCAAATCTTGGTAATTCGCGTTGCGTGATTCATTTAAATAGCCTACTCTACTCCCATAAATTTACGGATCGAAATGGAAACTCCTACAAATGCATATTAAGTAAGGTGAGTCGCAAAAATAACCGTGTCTATGCCTTTTCAATGCTAATTGCGTGTCTTTAGTAAATCCTGGCAGTAGTTTTTAACGCTAAATGAGGGTTTGCGGTTATGCAAGCTGATAGTAGCTAAATCTGGCCCTTTTTGGCTAAACAATTCATAAATACATTAAATAGCTATATTTACTGTAATATATGTATTATTTTGTATCTGTACACATGTAAATGTGTAATCAGGGCTTGACATTAAGCATTCTCATGTGGTTGTCCTTCGGACAAGTAAATTTGTCATTTACTTGTCCAAGTATAAAAGTTACTTGCCCGGAGAGAGAAAAAAACAACATTTAAATTGAATTATAAATATAATTATTTATTGTAGTTATACAAACATAGTATAAGGTTTATAGAGTACATGTAGTAGATTTTGTGAGCATGTCACATTTAGTTTATTTAGTTAGATTTTTCTTTTTAAACAAAATAATAAAGTGAAATCAGTATCAACAAAATTCATCTTTGCAATGCAGAAACACAGAAGCTGCATCTGAAGTGGAATAGATATATTTACCCACAGTTTAATGCAGCTCTGAGGGACATGGGATGCTTTAACCTGCAGTTACAAATGAATAAATAATGTTTTGACGTTGAATACTGATATTTGAAATCATTAAAAAAAAAAATTCAAAATACTTCAAATGTGAAATTAAAACTGCCAGTAGGTGTCATCAAGTCACTGTTAATGAGTGAGTCATTGCAATTGAACCGAATCGTTTAAATGGTTGATTCATTCAGGAACGAAACAGCGTCATGTTGTTCAGAGACGCAAAACAGCGCAGTGGCTGTGTTTGGAATTATTTCTGTTGATGAAATAGAACAAAAACAGGCAATATGGTGTCTAAAACGTAAGTCTCTTAATATTAACTTCTTGTTTGTTGAACTGTTGTATAAAATCACATTTGTAATCATGCTGATTTTTGGAGCAAAAAAAAAAAACCACGCTCGATCTTAGTGTGATATTGTTTAACTATATGAAATGATATAAATATATACATTTTCTGCCCCCATATCTTGAATTTTCTGAACATTCTTCATGCATTTTAATACTGAATCATGCAGTGAAAGAACGCACACGTGCGCTAGTCTAACCTGCTAGACTTCTTTACGTAGGCCTAATATATGGGTGCACTCTGTAGGTGTGTTTTGTTTGATTTTTGCAATATACTCGATAATGTCAAATCGCTTTTTTCAAATCGCAAACAACAATTACGATATTGCAATACGATAGCTGAATTAATTGTGTGTGTGCATGTGGGTGTGTGCACGCATGTGGGTGTTGCTTTTAAATGTAATTTGCTACATATATATTTTTATGCAATACCAAAAATACCAGCATAATCCACCTCCAGTGTGTTTTGATCAAGACTGTCGGAAACAGAGAAATGCAAACATACACCTACATATTCATTCTGAATGTATGCTCCACACACACACACACAGTCTTTAATAAAACCAGCATAGTACCGTCATCTCTAATGTGTGTTATTTTCTTTGCCTCTAGAAGCAGACAGTTTCTCCTCTCCTCTCCTCTAAAAATGAGGCAGAACTTCATATTTTATTTATGTTCCTTAGTCTGTCTGCTTCTAATCCACTACTTGCTTTTCTTTTCTTTTGCAGCGATAGAAAGATATTTGGAAGTTGACCCAGATAAAGGAAAAAAGTTTGACAGCCCTGCCAAGTCTCTGGGCTTGGCTTTCAGAGCGACTCTAAACCAGTTTGCTCTGGTTGGGTTGCCAAAGCAGGCGGGGCGGGGCGGGGGGGGCAGAAACCCGGCATGTGTGTGTGTGTCTTGGGCAGAGGGAGCATATTTCATGAAATTAGGAGTGTGAGTGGGATTTTTTTGATTATATAACACAGACAGCTTAGCATTGTGTCGGTTTCTGTGCTTAGATCAGTGCTGCTGTGTTCAGGGTGGAGAAGATCTGAAGAATCTGATTCTCGCCGAATTCTCTAGCATGGCTCAAAAATTACATAATTACGAATGTTGAAATAGGTAGTTGACTTTTAAGGAGTAGTTCACCACCAAAAATGTCCTTCTTTCACTCTCATGTCATTCCAAATCTATTTGATAGTTTTTCTGTTGGACAAAAAAGAGGTTTAACAGAACATTCAGGCTCCACTTTTCCATTCAATAGAAATGAATGGGCACGAGGGTTGTCAAATGTAATAAAAAATATATATATTTTAATTTTTTGTAATTTTTTAAAGACATAAAAGTAGTCCATATGGCTTTTGAGATACTCATACAAACACTTTGTGTAATAAACAGACCAAAATTTAATTAATTATTCACTGATAATCAGAAATGGCCATCATTATTATAGTATTATTTGTATACTATTGTATTATTTTAATATATATATTTTAAATGAGCTTATATATACACATTTTAGTGGTTTTGTTATGTGTTGTAATTTTTTTTTTTACAAATGTATTTTATATATATTTTGGTTTCATTTAATTTTAGTATTTCAGCTTATTTCAGTTTATTTGCCAAGGCAAATAATTTGAATTAACAAAAAATATTTTAATAGTTTTAGGTTGTTTTCATTTTAATTAACAATAACAACATGGCTCCATACTGATCGCAGTTGACATCAAACCTGTCATGACACATTTTAATTATATGCAAATGTACAAATAAATACATTGAAATGACAAAAAAAATTCAGGGTTGGTTTTTTTTTGTTGGTCCCTTTGGACTAGAAGCAAAATCATCTCCATTTGACAAGAGATGAATTTATATTAACATAACATTTGTTTGATATTATTGTGTAGTTGTGTTTGTTGAATCAACATGCCACTGATCGCATTTGCATCAGTCCCATCTTGTACAGTAATCTTATTTAAACATTTCTAATTTGCATAAATATTTCAATGTAATGTCTGTTAACACACTCACTCGCTCTCCTCTCTCTCTGATCTACCACAATCCCTCTGGTTTCCCTCTCTTTCACTGCAATCCAATATAACAGTCATCAATCATGTGCACACAGTATGCATACACAGCTCGAAGCTGAATCTCACCTGTGAGCAAGACCCTAAACAGTTAACAGAGCGTTTCATTCAGCCGCGCACTAAACCCTGGTGTTGATTTACAAACACGAGTGAACTGTCTCCCACACACATGCTGAATAAATACAGTTGATAATGGAGCTGTGCTGTGTGGGCATACACCAGAGGCCGAGCGCTAGTGTTTTTTACTGCGCTGTAGGGAGCTGCGATACGGCCGAGAGAAGTGGGACTCGGCCTGCCGAACAGAGAAAATGGGCACTCAGGCCGAGAGAGAGAGAGAGACAGAAAGGCCGGGCGGCCCACCTAACAGATGTGTGCCGTTTTATGTTGATGTGAGAGTGCGCTTCACATCTGGCTCTGCTTGACGTAATTGGTTTTAGTTGATCCAGGTCTTAAGATGTCAGTGATTGGTAAACCTCATTTCTCGCTCTCTTTTTTAACAGGAGGCCTTCTGGTCTTGCTGATAAAGAAGTGATGGCCGCCACCGTCCTGACCATACTGTCCACCAGCCCGTTGGTGCTCAACCCTTCCTCCAGCGCCTCAGGTTAAACATCGCTCTACTTCTCGCTTCCCTGTTACCTGATAGATCCCAGAGCGTTCAGGTTGAATGATGGCTTGTCAAACAGGCTCTAAACCTTCATAAGTGCTCAAAAGGACTCCTGCTTTCTCCATTTTGGAGTGTGTAATTTGTGTGCCGCCAAACAGAGTTGCAAATATTTGGTTGTTTTCGAACACCGTGCGTTCTGATTCAAAGAGATAGTCCCGCCTCAAACTCACGCCATTGGTTGAGCCAGTTATTATTAATTATGTTATATTATAATAGAGTTGGGCGATATGCTCAATTTTCATATCGTCCTATCGTCAGCCTGTGAGATCGCCGATACACGATATTATCGTGCTAATTTATGTAATTATTTACTTAGTTTCACTGCCGGAAAGTGAACCAACTCCAGCGGAAGGCTAAAAGCAGCCTAATGTTTTTAATGACTGAATTTGTATTTAACATGATAACAAATTAATAGAAACATCGGAAGTTGCTAATTATAATGATTACATTTACATTTCCTCAGTTATTCAAAAAGCAGCTACAGAAAACGAGCAAAGAACATGACATTACCAAAGAACATCATCACAAGCTCAGTCTAGCGTGAGTTTATGCACTTTAAAAACACTCCCGTTAAACTCAGTGAATCTACACTCTATGATGAATAAATCTCTTATACTTACATTGCACGTACATCTGCACTTTGTTGTTTATAATAAGAGAACTTGCGAGTTAGATTTCAGTCAGTGCGCACTGAACAACAGAACTCCGCTGTTTCAGTGATGACTCATCTGAACGCCTCTGATTGGCCATTGCATTCATAAGCTCAACATAATCGTGTGTGATTGGTTAGAATGGCAATACTGTAAAAACGCGGAAAAAGAAATATAATGCAACAAATAAGCCCTAATATTAATTATATAGTATTACTAGCCTGATAATAATAATAATAATAATAATAATAATAATAATAATAATAATCGTCTTGCTATCGTCAAAGGCATCAGCCACATGCGATATCTCTGTCTATCGTCTATACACAACACTATCGTCTATCGGCACAACCCTATATTATAATTAGAATTATTTAAAAAAAAATTGGGAAGAAATTAATGCTTTTATTGAGCAAGGATGCATTAACCCTTTAACTGTCACTCACATTTTTGAACATAGACGTGAAAGTGCACGATCCAAACTTAAATTTTTATAATTCATGAACGAAAACATTTTGTAACATGATATTGATGTACCATTTTCATGGTAATGCAATGTTTGATTTTAAAATGGATTTCGAAGGATGCATTTTGAGATTTAAAGTTTTCAATTGATATATCATTTCTGATGATTTCTAAAGTGTGATAGAGAAAAAGGCGACAAAGAAGACGTTTTGCTACAAAGGTCAGAACTCCTGTTATGATGTAGATTTTTTGAGGTGCACTCTTGTCGTAAATTAATCTATTACTTTTCCTACATAATTTTTTACAAAAACATTGGTAAAATATCTATTTAGGAGTCTTACAGTGTGTTCACACCAAACGTAGATTACATACAAAGTCAATGCAAAGACGCGAATAGAGGCGAATTCGCGCCAGGCGATGCGAATGACGCGAAATGCGCAACGCGTTTGCCGCGAATGCGAGATATTCACCTCAATCACGTCTTTCACGCAAGTTCAAAAATTTCAACTTGAGCGGAAAATTCGCCTGACGCCAATCAGCGAAGAGCTTATCGGCACGTCTGGTTGAATCAGACAATAGAAGAGTGCATTATGACGTGTGTATGTTCTCAGGCAAGTGCTGGACACTCAGCTATGCATGAAGAACTACAAGGAACGCTTTCACCTCCTCCTAAACCTGGAAGAGATTCAGATGGAGGTGGACATCAAGAAGTACGATCTCTACGGCAAGACCATGTCCCTCGACAAATCAAACAAAAAGTTGCTCATTCTCAAAGTGAGTGAGAAGCACAATTATCTAACACCAGATGTGTTCTTATTCATGCCAGATGTTGCTACAGATATCATGATGTCAGTCACAATTTTAGGACAGATTTTTTTTTCTGATGACTTTGTCTCTGTTTTTAACTCAGGTCCCTGGGGTGGCAGAAAACAGACCGTCCGTACTACGTGGAGATAAGATGAATGTCTGTTTGTCAGAGGACAGGAACCAGCCCATCACTGTCTATGAAGGCTATGTCCATAGTGTAGAACTTGAGAGAGTTAAACTCGGCTTCTCCAAGACGTAAGAATATTTCAAACAGTGAGAACATGATACATAGCTTTCATGAATAGTAACCACATTGTAACATGTTTTTAACAAGTTTTTGTATTAAAGACCTAATTTTATTTATACACTACTGTTCAAAAGTTTGGGGTCAGTGAAATTTTTATTTGTTTTTTAGTTTTTTTCAGAAATTAAAGGGTTAGTTCACCCCAAAATGAAAATTCTGTCATTAATTGCTCACCCTCATGTTGTTCCAAACCCGTAAGACCCGTTCATCTTTGAAACACAAATTAAGATATTTTTGATGAAATTTGAGAGCTCTCTGACCCTCCCATAGACAGCAACGCTACTGTAATGTTCCCAGGTCCAGAAAAGGACATCGGTAAAACAGTCCATGTGACATCAGTAGCTCAACTTCAGTTTTGCGAAGCAACGAGAATACTTTTTGTGTCCAGAGAAAACAAAAATAACATAATTTATTTAATTATTCACCCCCGAGTTACGTCTTCCGCCATTTTGGAGAGGACCCAAGAGCGTAATCGACGTAATCAGCGTTGTTTACGTTCGGGGGGAAAGCGCGCGCATGAACGTAATCTGCGTAATCAGCGTTGTTTACACTTGGGGGATGTGTGCGTATGCATTGTGATACTCTCTAAAATGGCAGAAGACGTAACTCGGGGGAGAAGAATTGTTAAATAAATTGTTTTTTTTGTATTCTTTGCGCTCAAAAAGTATTCTCGTAGCTTCGCAAAACTGAAGTTGAGCCACTGATGCCACATGGACTGTTTTACCGATGTACTTACTACGTTTCTGGACCTGGGAACATTACAGTTGTATTGCTGTCTATGGAGGGTCTGAGAGCTCTCCGATTTCATCAAAAATATCGTAATTTGTGTTCTGAAGATGAACGAAGGTCTTACGGGTTTGGAACAACATGAGGGTGAGTAATTAATGACAAAATTTTCATTTTTGGGTGAACTATACCTTTAATACTTTTATTCAGCAAGGATGCATTAAATTGATCAAAAGTGACATTAAATACTTTTATAACATTACAAAAGATTTCTGTTTCAAATAAATGCTGTTCTTTTTAACAATCTATTCATTAAAAAATCATGGTTTCCACAAAAATATTAACCAGAACAACTGTTTTCATCATTGATAATAAAAAATGTTAAATCATCATATTATACTGATTTCTGAAGGATCATGTGATGCTGAAGACTGGAGTAATGATGCTGAAAATTCACCTTTGCATCACAGGAATAAATTACATTTTAAAATATATTGGAAAAGAAAACAGTTATTTTTTTTTAAATAATACATATATTAAAAAAATTCTACATTTTAATTGTATCACTTATAAAGTTAGTCAAGGTTTCTTGCACCAAAAATGTTTTTTTTTTCATTTGTCTTTTTTTTATACTTTACCCTGTACAATTAAACGGGCTGTTTGTTGTACTGTACCTTTAAGACTTCTAGATGTAAATGACCTCTGTTATGATTGGCTAATCTCAGCATACCAGTGGTCATATTTTAATGAGCTCATGGTTGTGATGTCATAGTCACCATGATTTCAGTTTTTGCAGATTAGTTTCACAAAAGTGTCTGTGTAGACATACAGTGTAGTTTTGTATAAATATCAGCACATGGTCATCAGACTCTTATTTCAAAAGAGGAAGAAAAATTCTGTTTTCCATTTTTATGTCCCCTTTAGCATGATGAGAGGAAAACCAGACTATGGGTTTGTAATTGCAGTGACTGTCCTTCCTTCAGCTCATGGCTTACAAAACCAAAAGTATGTTCACAGAGTTTCAGAAGAAAAGACAATAGACATTGTGCAGCAGCAGAAGTGCTTGAACTCTCTCATTGATGTTTTATTAGACTTTGAATCAAACACAGATTTTGCCCTTAAATGAATAGCTTACCCAAAAATGAAACCGATTCTGTTATCACTGACTCACCCTTATGTCATTTCTAAGCCCAAAGAAGATATTTTGAGAAATGTAGTGGTTGCTATTTTCCATGCAATTACAATAAATGTGTACTAAAGAGCCAGTGAGTCAAACTCGAGAATCAAATCAGATTCATTGAACAGAACTATTCCTTTAAAACGTGTAACCAAAGATTGTTCTTTTTAAAGAGCAGGATTTTTAATGTTAACTGAACTGTGGTGAAAGCGTACTTGTATTGCATTTGTTCTGACCTTTGAGAGATTCTGGAACAAAATGAAAAGTGAGAGTTTTCTTAAGCTGTCACAAAACAACAGCTGTCCCTTCACAGTCCCTTACATTTGTGTCTTGGAAGGAACAGGCTGTTTTAATGGATCCTCTGAACACTTTCCATGGAGGATTTCCCTCTAGTTTGTTCCTTCAGTTATTGAGTCACTCAAATCCTCCGACCTTCTTTGATTATTTTGATTTATTGTACTATTTTAGTTGGCCAAATTTGCATCATTGATGAATTTTGGATGATGGATAATTTAGTCATTATTATATAAGGGATATTGGAGTGTCACTGAGTACGCTGTATAACTTTGTTCAAATAAGGTTTGGAGTCAGTAGGATTTAATTTGATATTTTTGAATGAAATTAATACTTTTATTCAGAAAGGACACATTAAAGAGATCAAAAGTGAACGCAGAGACATTTAGAATGTTTCACAATATTCCTATTTCAAATAAATGCTGTCTGAACTTTCTACTTATCAAAGAATTCTGAAAAAATATATCACGGCTTCCACAAAAATATGAATCAGCATAACTGTTTTCAATATTGATAATAATAAGAAATGTCTCTTGAGCAGCAAATCAGCATATTATACTGATTTCTGAAGGATCATGTGACACTGAAGACTGGAGTAATGATGCTGAAAGTTCAGCTTTGCATCACAGGAATAAATTACATTTTAATATATTCAAATTTTGAATATATATATTCATTTGTAAGTCGCTTTGGATAAAAGTGTCTGCTAAATGACTAAATGTAAATTTAAATATATATTGAAATAGAAAACAGTTATTTAAAATTTGAATAATATTTCGCAATAATTCTGTTTTTATTGTATTTCTGATTAAATAAATGCAATCTCGGGGTGAGCAGAAACAACTTCAAGACCCCAAACTTTTGAATGGTAATTTAAATAATATTTGTCAATTGGCCATATACCTAAAAAGGCCCCTCACCTCGTATACATTTAATAAAAATGCCGAAAAAACAAATTTTCTGCATGGCATGGTCAACTGGAAATTAATACTACTGCAAATACTGTTAGAAAATGATAGAAAAACAGGTTATTTACATGTATATATTCTGAATATTAAACCCTTTCCTGGATTGGTTACAGAAAAGTGAATGTGCAGCAAGATAAATCTTTGAAATGACATAGCGCATTAGTAAATAGTTTTTCTTATGTTCACATTTGTGTAAGTCATTTTTCAATGTCCCTTCGGTATAGATGTTTTCAGTTGATAGCAGACATCCTGAAATAATATTATATCTCATTACTCTTGCCTAGAGGACAACTTAAGTAAAAAGTGCCACAGCTTTCCTTACTCTCCATTACTATTTAATCAAGGACATTGGCCTTGGGATTGGATTTTATGTGTTTTTCATTTGTGCGTTGTCATTTTTTAATATCTTTAATGCAAACACATTGCCCTTCTGGGAAATTAAAGACTTATTGTACTGTATCAGCGTGGCTGCACAAATAACAGAGAACTGTCCCTTTCCTCCCAACTAGAAAACAGATAAAGAAAGAATTCATATGGGCTGCTGGTATTTCAGTAGTTTTGTTAGTCTAATGACTAACGGCATGAGGTCTGGTCTTCATTGCAGCTAATTCCTGCCAAGAACCGCCAACTTTGAGAGGAAGATACGGTCTTGTAAAGTGACCAACCACAGTCTGGGTTTATCTGAAATGGATGTAACCACAATAAAATACTGATGTGGGGAAAAAAAACTAACTGGTGTGACAATCCTCATGTAGGATTGAGGCAGAAACTGTAGGGCTACTTTGATTACAATTCTTTCCTGGTGCTATTGTGCCCTTGAGCCGAGCGCTTAACCTCTAAATCATGCCACTCCAGGGAGTGTGTTCCGGTAATTAGTGTACTGTAAGTCGCTTTGAATGAAAAACATCTGCTAAATGGCAAGAGCACACATGCTGGAAGAACCCAGACCATAATCCTAAGAGGTCAAGTGCCATGAATTGGTGGTGATTTGCCTGTTTGGGGTCATGCAATGTCAGCGCAGTTTATGCTGTTGCTCAAGGTATCTTTAAGCCTAGAAATTTCGTTAAGTTAGTATGTTCAAGGTTGTTATTGTTTAACATCAGCTGGACAGTGTGTCCTATTCTGTTGCATAGCTCACCTTTACATAGCTGTATGGTATATCTGCAGATTTGTGTTTACAACCTTTATTGTTTGGCGCTGATATGGTATTGAACATAATGCGCCAAAATTATTTTTGAAACTGAAAATAGAGTTTTCATTTAGCCAAAAGCAAAACTAAAAAAAGATATGTTAAAACAAATAATAATAATAATAATAATAATGAATTTAACTATCAATCAGTCAATCAATCAATCAATCAACCAATAAGCATTTAAATTGCACATAAGGTTATTTTTAGATTGACTTTTTAATTATATAATTATAAACAGTGGCTGT